CCTCCGAGAAATGAGCAAAAACGGGACGGAAAACATGAAATTTTGGCATAATCTTGCACCTAAGTGTCTGATATTCAAATTTCGCTTTCTGGGTCCAAACTACTCGAATTTCCTCACTCACGTTGTTACGACTGAATGGAGTTTTCAATTCTCTATTCAACGATGCCAAAACGAATTCTGTGGCTCGAATCGTCATGTTCAAGTGGATTTTGCGACTCAAAGAAAACCACGCAAATCTAAAACTTCTTGAATGCAAGCATTTTTTAAGAAGACTGCCTACATTTCCCCATCCATGGTTCACTTTCTAAAAAGGTCATTTATTTCTGTATAGAATGGTGTACAAATGAGCGTTCTTGTTCATTTTGCCTCCGAGAAATGAGCAAAAAGGGGACGGAAAACATGAAATTTTGGAATAATCTTGCACCTAAGTGTCTGATATTCAAATTTCGCTTTCTGGGTCAAAATTACTCAAATTTCCTCATTAACGTTGTTACGACTGAATGGACTTTTCAATTCTCTATTGAACGATGCTAAAACGATTGCAGTGGCTCGAATGGTTCTTGAGAAACTTCGAATAAAGGCCATTTAGTCATCTCTGGAATGATGTAAAAACGAGCGTTCTTTTGCTCATTTTGTTGCCGAGAAACATGCAAAACAAGACGGAAAACATGAAATTTTGCAATAATCTTGCTCCACCCTTGCACAAAACGACGATCATGTTTCTAATTTCATCAACAACAGAAGACTGTATTTTTTCTACATAACCCCCCCCCCCGCCCCTTGACTTTAAAGCTGGATCCGCCCCTGGTTGCAATGTTGCATACTGCAAATCGGAGCCACTACCTGTACTTACCTATGGTTGGCTTTAAAGCTAGAGAGAGGGTTTTAACTTCTAGGCCCCGAATGGAATTAATTTCATTGGCCAGGAAGTACCCAGATTCGCCCAGCCTCATCTATTGTTTACGCCCACATTTCTAACCTTAAACTCTTGAGAGATTGTCACAGATTGTAGCATTGTAGAACATCTGTAAAGTTGCAAGTTGTTAGGCTAGGAACAAATATGACATATTTTATAACAATAACAAATAACTAACAATAAGAAAAATGTTCAGAAAATTGATTTTTTTTAAAGTAAGCCGCTCTAATTAGCAGTTCCAATTTTACTATTTGTGCTTCCTACGAACAAACTGAATGAAGTCAATCATTTAGATTTTTAGGAATGATTGTTCATTGGTCCGGTGCCTTTCCAAGCAATCCAGCCCCCAAGTTAAAACTGATTTTACCAATGGAATTAAAGAAATTGTAATGTGCAGTGCAAAAACCAGGTGATAAATACTACTGAGGTTACAGATATTCTTAGTTTTCTGAAGGCCAAGCTAAGACAGGCGAATTCTTACTTTACTTACTCAAGATCCCGTTGGTAACAGGGCGAATATTTGAGGGATTTGGTAATAATTAAATTCCTTTGCAGAACTTGTGCTTATTTTAAATTGATTTATATTACCTTTGAGGTGTTATAAACATGTTTATATTTGTATATCTACATATTACTAAAAAAATGTATATAAAACATTATATTACAGAAATGCGCTTTCTATAGCAATGATGGAAACGCTTAGTGATCATATATTGTGCGATCAACAAAATAACGATTTAAGAGCCATCGTAATATCTGCAGAGGGATCTGTTTTTTCGTCCGGGCATAATTTAAAAGAACTGGTAAGAGTAAAGATAAATGTATAATTTATATTATGCAAGGTGCTTGGCAATGATGTGCACATCTTTAGGGGTACCTAATGTTAGAACGCAGTTTTATTTGGTATTTCTTCAATAAGTTTTTATCTAAACACCTTGATCAAAAAATAGTTGAAGAACATTGCAGCAACTTCTGAAGGTGGAATTTTGTATTTTTAGTTCACAGTAAAAATGGTCGATCGTTCCGTCATTGGTTTATAATGTGAAATTTCATCATCAAAATGTGTTTTACCTGAAAACGGTTGATCGCAGGGGCGGATCCAGCTTTAAATTCA